CCCGTGTGCAAGTTGCGCACGTTAAAGATCCCTTGGTGGTCTAAAATTGATAAGAGTAGGCTTCGGCCGCCACCCGGGAAAAATTAAAAAATTCCTACCAACTGAAAATATTAGTTGTGTCCCGCGAACTCATATGACCTTATGCAGTTGCGAGCGCCGTAAAAACACTTGCCAAAACAAAAAAAAATATAACCATCACTCAAAGGGTAACATATGATATATCAAATTAAAGGAAATTGGATGAGGACTAAATTCCAACAGCAAAAAAAAAATTAATTTTGAACGTAAGAATGCATTACAGGGGTTAGAAATGGCGATGGTGATGAGAAAATTAAATTTTGACGGAAAAAATTACGTTCACCAAACATATGAAAGAAAATCAGCATAGATATCTTATCACATACAGGCCAAGAACATAAATCCATAAATTTCTGAAAGCACAGCTTTTTATTTGAAAGCAACATTTCAATTTTTGTTTGAGTTATAATTTATACTGAGTCCGGTTACATCGTTTCGTTGATGAAAGACCGCAAGAATTAATTCACTCGTTTTTCCCCAAATCCACGCTTAGACAAAGTGAAACTAGATGTTTTCATTTCCAAGTTTCAATAACAATAAAAGGTAATTATAAATGACGGATCATGGTAAAACGAAACAATACTGAGGCACCCTATCACAGCCGATATTTCGGCGATACGCCCACAAGGGGTGTGGACTCGCGCCAATATATCGTCCGGAAAGAGTTAATAGTATCATTATTATTATCATTATTATTATTATAATTATTATCAGTATTATTATTATTAATATTGTCATTATTACTATTGCTACTATTATCATTATTGTTATCTTTATCAATATCATTATTATTATGTTATTTGTCTCCCTCCCTCACCCCCTCAGGAGCGGTGCCCAGCCCCTATCTGTTTGGAACCATTGTGGATGATTCGTGTGCCATGAGTCGCCCCCCTTGCGGCCCCGCAGGAACCTGCTCCTTCTACGACATCGTGCAGATGCGTCTCCACTACCACGGCCTGTCGACGGCAATTAGGGGGGTGGCCGCGCTCCTGTATGTGGTAGCGCTGGTCTTAGCCTGCCGCGAGTCGAGCGTCTATAAGGTCAAAGATGAGGAAAAATCCAGGGGGATATAGACGGCGACGGGAACTAGCGGCATCTTTTTTGGTTTAAAAATATTTTTTAAGCATTTTTTATTTTGAATAAAATTCCGAGGTTTTTTTTTTGTATCTGTAAAGGTGAAGTTCAACATTCTACTGCCGTAAGTTGACAAAATGCTTTTCTAAAAATATTTTGGCGCCAACATTTTTTATTTGCTAAATATGGAAAGCCTGATCAGTTACCCTAATTGTGTGAAAACATTAAAGTGAATCTGTTACTAGTTTTTGAATAAATAAGAATTCAAATTTCGGAAAAAAGCTATTTTTAAATGGTTACTCTTTAAAAAAAAACACTCTTTTTCTCGAAACTGCTGTGAATTTTAAAAAGGCGTTGTGTCAGCTTACAGCAGTATACCCCTGCCCCCACCGCCAAAACTATACGACAAACACCCCCTCCACAGCCCCCCCGCCCTCTCCCCAAGGTAAACAATACCTCTTTATAATCCCAACCCCCCTCCCCGAACACACTAGGAGAACTCCATTAGGCTTCGCTCAGTTAGTATCATGCTGAACCGCTGAGCAGATAGCCAGGGTTCAAAATCCAATCCCAGACTGGGCGTTCTTGAACTCTTTTTTTTTTGGGGGGGGGGGGGGGGTTGGCGGAGTTTTCAAATCTTTCGACCCCCCATTCAGCTCAGTCAGTCCTCCAATCAGAGACGGAGATTTTAAATGCGGAGGTCAGGCCTCGAATATAGCCTAATAGTGTTGATAGGGGCGTTAAACCCGTACACTTACTTACATATATATATACTAAAGCCACAGGATATAACAAATTGTGGGATGGGGAATCGGGTAAAAGTAAATTACAACCTCTCCCCCCCCCGCCCACCTCCTCCCACCTCAACATCTTTTTCACATTATGACGATCACAGCCTATTGTTTATAAGAACATGTTTATTTTGGCTAAAGTAAAGTGTAAACCATTTTCTCCCGTTCCCCCCCCCCCCCTTCCCCTTCCCCACATTTCCCCCCCCACCAACCCCCAACACATTCCTCCTCTCTCCTTATATCCCCCCACCCCCCCCCCCCCCCCCCACCACACACACACACCTACTCCCAATCTCTTTGCACCTCCCACTGATCCCAAATTGAGTCGATAGTGCTGTAAAACACCTACCGTACTCAATCAATCAATCAAACACTGATCCCAGCCTGCTGTTTTTATCAAAGAAAGTAGGCCCTTAGAGGGGTTGTTTTTTGTTTGTTTTTTTGTTTTTGTTATTCTGGATTTTTGCTGATCGGTATTGATGAGAGGGTTGTGACTGACATGACACATATGTGTTGTATGATGTGTCAATGTCTGACACACGTGTGTTATATGTGTCAATGGCTGTGTCAATGACCAACATGACATGACACGTATATATATATGTATGTGTGTTGCGGTGTGTGTGTGTAATGTGTCAATGAAATGACATGACATGACACGTATGTATGTGTGTTGCTGTATGTGTGTGTGTAATGTGTCAATGAATGACATGACATGACACGCATCATATGTATCATGTATGTGTATGGCTGTGTGTGTGTGTGTGTAATGTGTCAATGACCGACATGACATGACACGTGTGTGTATGTGTGTCGCTGTGTGTGTGATGTGTCAATGAATGACATGACATGACACATAAGTATGTGTGTCGCTGAGTGTGTGATGTGTCAATGACTGACATGACATGACACGCATGTATGTGTGTCTCAGTGTGTGTGATGCTGTGTCAATCATTGACATGACACGGTATATGCGTGTTGCTGCCTTAATAACTGACATGTGACATGTGACGCACGTGTGTCAGTGTGTCTATGACACGTGACTTTTTGTTGCCTGAACACATGTGTTGTCAAGCCTACAGGGTGATTGGAGACTAGTCCTGGAGGGTCACAAGAGTGAGAAAGAAGATGAGAAAATGAAATGTATGCATGAAACCGATTTATCGGAACTCGTTTGATTTATCGGAACTCGTTTGATTTATCGGAACTCGTTTGATTTATCGGAACTCGTTTGATTTATCGGAACTCGTTTGATTTATCGGAACTCGTTTGATTTATCGGAACTCGTTTGATTTATCGGAACTCTTTTGCTCGAATAGATCTTCCCAGTTGCTGCCTTTAAACAATTGCCACAAGTTGGCGGGTGTTCTGGTGTGGTTTGCTCCTTCTTTTGTAGGTGGTTGGCGGGTGTTCTGGTGTGGTTTGCTCCTTCTTTTGTAGGTGGTTGGCGGGTGCTCTGGTGTGGTTTGCTCCTTCTTTCCTAATATCAAACATCGATCATCTTTATCTCTCCTTCTTTTGTAGGTGGTTGGCGGGTGCTCTGGTGTGGTTTGCTCCTTCTTTCCTATCAAACATCTATCGTCCTGATCAGATTTCTATCCTCCTTCTGTTTTACATATATGTTACTCTCTTGTAACACCTCTAATCTTTGGCACTTATGTGACCTTATTGAGTTACAAGTGCTGTAAAACACTTACTAATACAAAACCATGTTCCCCCTGTGCTCAATTCACAGGAAACAGGCCAGTCTCCCTGTATTGGGGACCATACGCTTCCATTTCTGTCGGATTTAAGACGGGTTTTTTAAAAACATAAAATGCCAACAAATCAATTTGACTATAGTCTCTTCTTAAGCAGAGAGACTGAAGATGAGAGGTTTTTATGAAAGCTGTGAATGCGGGTACATAGTCTTTTGTTTGTGTGGATTGACCAATGGTTTTGTCTTTTTGTTTTTTTTGTAGAGGATTTTTAGTGAAGAAAATAAAAAAGTTGATGAGTCGCCAGGTTTTTCTGTCCGTGTCTGTGGTCATGAAGATATATTTTGAATAATGGTTGAATTATTGATGTTTGATGAGATGAATAGTGGTTGAATTATTGATGTTTGATGAGATGAATAATGGTTGAATTATTGATGTTTGATGAGATGAATAGTGGTAGAATTATTGATGTTTGATTAAATGAATAGTGGTTGAATTATTGATGTTTGATGAGAAAGTTCTACAGTTGGATGACTTTACTGAGGAGTAGATGAGTTAAGGATGTTTGATGTTTAGAAGAATGATCAGAGAGATAAATGTCAACTGTTAAATGTCTTAGAACAATTGGTTACTTTTAAGGACAAGCGGGCTAACCCAGATTCTGGGGGTTTCCAGAAATCTTGACCTACACCAAAAGTGGGCCTTGCCCTACCTATAGGAGAAGTTTGGTTTCCTTGGTGTGTATATTTGTTTGGTTATAGAGAAAACTCTCCTTGTCTTTTTATGGAAACTGAACCAGGGGCAAAAACTTTACCTTCGATTTTCTCAAAACAGCATTTTTCGGGATACCCCTTGTGCTTTTAAGCGACCAATTTTGAACAATAATTGATCAAAGCATGTCCATCATGATCATGAGATATGCCAGGTATTGATCAAAGACTTTTTGAGAAATTGTGAGTGGTTCTGATGGGTTACTGGCGCCTGTGTGGTGTAGGTGTAGCGGTTAGGTACTTGGCTGTGGCATGCAGGAGACCCAAGTTTGATTCCAGAGTGGCGAGAAATTTTTGACGAGTTCCTCGGGTCTTTCTACTCAGATTTTGTATCCTCTGAGTCGAAGCCAAGCTTGGGTGGGCCCGGACAAGCAGGGGTGGAAGCCCACCTCCTAAATGATCTAAATTGTGTCAAGAGGATTGTAAAAACATTTTTTTTTTAAAAAGAATATTGACAGGTCAGAGAGGTCAAAGGCAGGGGTCGTAGACTTTCTGAGAGGTCAATAGTGGAGATTTATGGACAGCGAGTGACCATGGGTGACAGCTAGAGTATTGTGACCTGGCACTTTGAACCCACTTTTGTGTGTGCGTGTGTGTGTTCCTGGAGTTAAGGTCCTAGTTGTTGGAAATTATGGCTAGATGAACTAGATGTATTTAAATAAGAGCCTATTCTTATAGCAAATTCAATCCTGAACACGCTGATTAAAAAAATTTTCAAATATCTCGAGCAGTTTTAAAGATATAATGCCACACTTTGTAACACGGTATAGAAACAAAAGTTTGGAGGAAAACCAACATTTTTTACCTTTGGTGAAGTACAACATGTTGAAAAAATAATTAGACTAATAAAAACAATTTAAGATTTAAAATATTATAAAAATCCTTTCAGTATATTATCAAGAAATGGTTAAACGTGTGATTTCTGGTGGAACTTAATTTTTGATCTGGTAGATCTACGATTTGTTTGGTTATTTCACCCCGTTGCTCAAAAATAGCTGTGCCGACAACTGGGAGCTTTCTTCAGGCACACCCACTTTTGCCCAGGAGTCCCAACGGTTTGGTCCATGAGGTACACATGTCAATATTTGGGGTTTTTGATACAGGTGAAAAGAGGACGTAATTCCCTTTCATAATTTACACCATTTTCAAATGAACACAAAAATACCAAAGTATTAATAAATGACACAAATGGCATAGGTTCGAGCCTCAGCTCGGTCCGACGTTGTGTCCCTGGGAAAGGCACTTTACACGAATTTCCCACTTGACTCGGTCCTTTCGGAGATGGACGTTAAACTCAGAGGTCCCGCCTCTTAAAATAAATAACTTAACAGTGGTGATTGAGGTGTTAAACTTATACCGCTTCATTTTTTTTTTTCATAAATGGCAGTTCAATATTGGAATTCTTCACTGCTGCAAGACAAATAAATACAAATATCTCCATAACAACAGACACATTTTCTAAAATAGCCGTGAAAAATTGATTTGTGGATGATTTATAATTTTTAAGTTCTGAAAGAGAGTAAAAAAAACATTTTAAAAAACTTGATATTTTTATTATTTTTAGACACGACAAAGTGATTTCGTCAATTTCTATTGTTCAGCGTGATGTAACTTGTGGACAAAACCGTTGGAACGTTTGTGGGTGGTTGGCGGATGCTCTGGTGTGGTTTGCTTCTTCTTTCCTATCAAACATCTATCCTCCTTATCTCCCCTTCTTCTTTTTTATGTTTCTTACTCTCTTGTAACACCTCTAATCTTCTGGCGCTCATATGACCTTATACAGTTGCAAGTGCTGTAAAATCTCTACTAAAACTTGGAATGAATCACATATATATGATTTAGTCAGTCGTTTGACAGTGTCCAAGTCATTTGTATAAACATAGTTCATATTATATGTTTTAGAAAAACTGGGGAAACTCCCAGTTTTTGGGTGTTTTTTTATAGAGTGTGTTCACAACGTTCAATCGTTTTTAACCATTTACGAGGATTTATGAGGGTTTATGAGGATTTATGAGGATTTATGAGGATTTGTGAGGATTTATGAGGATTTGTGAGGATTTGTGAGGATTTGCAGAATTTATGTATGACTATGAGCCTTTTTACCTTGAGGACTAAAATATGTTTGTGTCAAGTGTTCATCTAGTTGTTGCTCCTAGCGTTTCATGATCTTTGTTGTTCCCATCTGCCAATATTCTTTCTACATTTTCTACAAGTAAGATATCAATGGTATGCTACTTCAACCCAAGTTTGCTCAATGCTTACAGCATTTTTATTCTACAACAGACGGAAAAACGCGAACGGTCGAGTCGACTCTGCTTGAGTTGATCTTCAGTTTTTAAGTCGAACTTTTTCTCGGGTCCCAGCCTCTCTTCCTCTTTACAGGTCATCCCAACGGTTAAGTCGAACTTCGGATGAGTTGATCTTTTTTTCATTCCGCTGACAACATTGACTCACCCGTTGTTGACTGTACTTTGCATTCCTTGCCTTACATTTTACATTTTGGAACCCGAAGTTTTTCAATATTTAGACCTGCCAGCCTCCTCTATGATAAAAAATTGGAGTTTCTCTCAGAATCTTCCGTAGAAACTGGGAGGTTTGGGGGGGGATATGAGCTTCCAGTACCCCAGTAGATTCAGAATATGTTATGAACTGATCTGGGTAAATAGCCTACGTGCAAGTAAAAAAGGGTAT